TATATATATATATATTAATTTATCTATAAATGGTGAAAAAATTAAGCTTATGCATGTACTATATTATTTAATTACGAGGTTTTCATGATTTTAATGGATTAACATTATCGATGCTTCATTATAATAAAATTTAGGATAATTATATAATCAGTGATGATATGATATTTATGCTTGTTAGCTAGTGAGCCGTCTTCGAATTATCCCATTGTATTACAAGGAGATTGAATCCTATAAAATGAACAAAATTGATGTGTAAATTTCTATATTAATTATGCACATAACTAACATAAAAAGTGTAATTGTATATGTCATTTAAGTACATAATTGATGTAGAATGATAATTTTTGTTAGTTATTTTTGTATTTGACTGACATAAAAAAATATAACTTTTTATTCCGAATCTTAATACAATCAACACAAAAGAAAATTATGTCTCTTCACTGGTCAACGTAAAAAAAAAAAAAATATATATATATATATATATATATATATATTTTTGTTTTACATTGTAATCTTTTTCTTTAAATCATATTGATTGCCTCACACAAATTGTGGTGAGATTTATCACATCTTACAATTATTAATTAATGGAGCATATATAACAAAAGCCAACATTAAAAATATTAAAAAAATATAAGTCTCACATATTCTAAATCAATAAAAAGGGTCACCTATCATTTATCTATGCATCAAGTTCAATATTCAAGATCGACTCTAAGGGTTAGAAAAAGGAACAACTAGCTTAAGCCCATCATTGATAGCAGACCAAAAATAAAATTATAGTTCTAATTTTTTGAACTAAAAATTACTCTAGTTAGTTTTATAATTTTCCTTCTCTTGTTCAATTTTTAATTAATTAACTAAAAATTATAAATTTTGAGCGGATTATACATTTAGTTTTTCTAAAACATAAAAAAACCTTTATTATGTTCTAATTTTGTGATAATAAATACATCTTTTTATATAAAAGACATAAAATTCAAAAGAGAATTACACATTTTATATACCGAATTATAAGGGGTTCTTATGATAAATTGAGCATTTTCTCTGTAAATGATGGACATCATGACAATTTTAAAGAACATATATTTTTTTATGATAAAAGATAGCATAGAAATTTATTTTAAAAAAATTAATACATTTTTTAAAGATTTGTTAAAATCTGGTTCACATCATGTAAAAAAATGTATTATTTTTATTGAAATTACATATTTATTTATATATATATATATATAATACATATTTAAATTTAAAAATATTTATATATGAGGGGCCTAATCTATTATATAGTCTTGGACCTACAAAATGTCAAGACCGACCTTGTCAATAGTGTTTATAAATGTAAATAAATGAAATACAATTATCATCTTACAAACCGATCGATTTTGTATAATTGAATTAGGTATTCCATATATACCACTTTCTTAAGATAGTATTAGAGTTATCTTAGATCCACGAGAAGGGGACTACTCACTATTTATATATGGCACCGAACTCTAGAGTGTTTGGCACGAGGAAGTGTATCGAGAAAAATTTAAACAATTATAAATAAGACAAACAAAGTGTATATAAGTGGAGATGAAAAAAACAAAGTACTCTTAAGGTATGTTTAGTTAAATTTCTTTAGCAACACTTATAGGAAAGTAAAATAGAAAGAAAAAATGAAATAAATTTTCCTATATGATAAAATTAACTCATGCATAAACTATTTTATTAACTCGTTTATTAATTTCTCTAAAATATTGTTTTTTAATTTATGCAAAATTTATTTTAATTTTCCTTCGTATATTTCTATTCTAAAGTGCTTTTAAAAAAATCTATCCAAACATTCCTTATTATATTTAAGGGTTCACACTTGGCACATGGTTTAATTAAAAATTGTTAGTAATTAGTGTGTTATTTGAAAGAATATGGTTTCATAATAACGTGACTAGTATTTTAGTTTGTATATTCTACAAGTTAAATTTTATTGTGTATAATTAAAATTTAAAATAAATTATATATAAAAATAAATATTATGTTTGAGTATATAAATTATATTTAAAAGTTAAATAAATAAATATTTTTAAATATATAGATTATATTTTAGATTTATGACAAATAATTTATGTTCTAGTATAAAATTATTTTTATTTATTTATTGATAATTTATTTTACAAATATTAAAATATAATTTATAATTAATTATTATAGATAAAAATAAAATTAAATATAATATTGAATAGAATTATAAAAAATCTAATAGTTGTTTTGTCTTTACAAAACACAATCCGTAAACAAAAACTATAACTAAGTAATATTATCCTATGTAAGGGTTCGGTGTTTTAAGGCCTCTATAAAACTAGAATTCTAGTTGGCTGAAAAGAAAAAGCTTATAAGAAGAGTATATAACGTGCCAAAGCAACTTGTTTAATTAAAAGAAAAAAAAGACATTGTATAGTTTTTTTTATTTCGCCCACTTGCCCACTCTCTGGCTTAAGGTTTATCCTTTCCCCATAAAACTCTTGCATGCGGACTAAGAAAAAACGCGCACATCATAAGAATATCTTCTTCTACGAGTTGGCATGGCAAGCCAAGGTTCAGAATCCGAGATAGAGCTGGTGGTAGACACGACCACCTCCAGAAACAGTGTCAAAAACCGCGAATCAACCTCCTCGATGGTCGCAAAGCGTTCCATAATGTCCCTAAATTCTATCCTAACCAAATTCCATGCAGGTTACTTCAGAATAAGCCTCTCCTTCGGTGGCCAAGCCTTGTTGTGGAAGACACTGATCGAACCAACACACGACGACACAAACACAAACACAAACACAACCACTCTACGTCACATGCTCTGCACGCTTCCCTCCGCCGCGTTCCTTGTACTATGGTCTCTGTCTCTCTCCATTCTCCTGTTACTCTCTCTTCTCTACCTTCTAAGGTGCTTGTTTTTCTTTAAGATGGTGAAGGCCGAGTTCTTGCACCCCGTGGGGGTGAACTACCTCTTCGCGCCGTGGATTTCGTGGCTCCTGCTGCTTCAGTCGGCGCCGTTCGTGCCTCCCAAAACGGCGACGTATTTGGTGCTGTGGTGGGTGTTTGCGGCGCCGGTGGTGGCGCTGGACGTGAAGATCTACGGGCAGTGGTTCACGAAGGGGAAGAGGTTTCTATCCGCTGTGGCGAACCCCACGAGCCAGATGTCGGTGATAGGGAACTTGGTGGGGGCACGCGCCGCCGCGCGTATGGGTTGGAAGGAGAGTGCGGTTGGGTTGTTTTCGCTGGGGATGGTGCATTACTTGGTCTTGTTTGTGACGCTTTATCAGCGTTTATCGGGTGAAGATCGACTTCCAGTGTTGTTAAGGCCCGTTTTCTTTCTCTTCTTTGCAGCTCCCAGTGTCGCTAGCTTGGCTTGGGAATCCATTGTTGGCACCTTTGATACTGCTTCCAAGATGCTCTTCTTTCTCTCCCTCTTCCTCTTCGCCTCACTGGTAATTCATTTCTCCATCCATCTTTCACTTTCTTTTTATTTTCAAAATATACTCATGTAACAATTAACATGATCCATGTCAAAAAATTAATATGTGCTATGCATTTGCTATTACTATTATCATTAAGTCATTGTCCCTTTTATATGAAAGGAACAAACATATACTACAAAGTTCATCACAAATTAATAAGTTGTATCATGAAAACATACAAAGCTATAATTTAGTAATATAATATCCCGAATATCTTTCCAGCACAATACGTACGACTAAAAAAATAACCTAGTCCTCGAACTTTATTTCATATATAGTACATCATGTTCCTATTAGATGTTTAATTTAAACTATAGTTTTCATCCATGCAATAGTCTTCCTATGAGGGGAAGATATAGGTTTTTGTTAATATATAATATTTTAAAATTTGAGAAATGTTAACTACATGGTATCTAAATATATATTCTCTGGAACACATTATTTACTATTAACTAACATTTTATTCAAAATCATAAATTTTAATGAATTAATTTCACTTCTTATTTAATAATTTTTCTCACTTTATTTTATAATTTTTAATAAATTGTAATCAGTAATAAAAGTTAAATATAGACCTTGCTTTTATTATATATATATATATATATATATATAGTTTATATAATTTTTTTTTCCAACTTTTATAATAATTATCTTAAAAATCATAATATAGGTAATTTTATTATTTATTAACAACATAATTTTTTAACACACCATTTTTTAAAATATCTTATCAACACTTTTCTTTCTTTCTTTTTTTTATCTCTTTTTTTATTACCTCATATTATCTAATATACTTATATTTTTATCTCTTTAATTTATTTCTCTCTCACTAATAGCATTTGGAGTGTGTAAACAAAATTTTCCGTAAATTTTACATTGAGGTGTATAGTCATTAATTCCTAATAGAATTTGTGTAAAAAAAATAAGATAGAAAATGTGTCGTTAATACTCTTAAAATAAAAAATATATAAATATTCACATGAGAAAAGTTAAACACAATTTTCTTAACATTATTTTTGAACAATCTCTTTATTATTAATTAACATTTATTGAAAATTATAAATTGTAGCAGGTTTTGAGAAAAAGTTATTAAAAAAATAGTCTCACAAAACTTGTAATTTGTAATAAGTTATTGTAAAAATAAAATTAAAAGTACTGAATAGGATGTGACTATCATTTCTCTTTTGATATATCTATATTCCGCACGGTCGGAGGATCTATCAGTGGAATATCTTGGTCACTATCATTCTTCTAGTAATGACAAAGGCTACAGCTGGAGAATTACTGGTAGAGAAGTTTATTTATTAAATACGAAATTAAAATTGAAGTCGTTCACTTGTAGTTGTAGCCTGCTTTTTTATATGAAACAGAAGCAGGTCATCTATTCATAGTCACATTTTTCAATTTTCAACAGCTGATTAATTGGAAGATGGGAAAACACTTTTACTGCTGCCGCACGGTGCATGGACATGGAGCCTCCTTGCCAGCTAATACTAATATTTATTTAAAGCAAAATATTACTCCATTCCCTATCTTAATTTCTTTTTATATTTAAATTATTTTTAACTTCTAAATATAATAGCCCCTGTTATTTTATCTCATTTATGATAAATATCGATATTTTTTCTTCTTCTTTATTTTAACATATTCAATGTTTAACCTTTAACCTGAAATATTCATTGTTGGTGTGCATGTTGAACAGATTTGCAGGCCAGCCATGTTCAGGAGATCTATGAGAAGGTTCAATGTTGCTTGGTGGGCTTACTCCTTTCCAATTACCGTACTTGCTCTGGTTTCCACGGATTATGCACAAGAAGTCAAAGGAACTCTTTCGAACATCCTAATGTTCCTTCTTTTAGCTCTTTCAGTTCTTGTCTCGCTTGCTCTAACGTTCTTCACTTTCCTCAACTCTAAGATGCTTCTACCGGATAACGATCCTATAGCTAGCTTGCTCATTGGTTTACCAACAGTACAATAATGATCAAAGTCTTCATTATTTAATTATAAATCACAGCTAGTACGTTGTCAATCGTCAACATGGGTGTTATATGTGAAAAATATGCTTTGATAAATTCTACCGTAAGCAAAAAATTTGAACACCGCTACCGGTTCCTCCAACAAAAAATTACCGTCACCCCTTACTTTGAAAATTATAAATATGGAATTTAATTGGTCTTCATGAGTGAGTCTTTTTTCTCAATTATATTTTTTTTATACACAAAACTCAAAATTTATTTAAGAAAATTAAGTTCAATAACAATTGGACCAACAACTTATTAGTTAAAAAAGAGAAATTAAACTTTATGTTTGATATAAAAAATTTGTTCATAGTCAACTTTATTCATTAAAAAAAGTAGTTAGTCATTTTTAAAAAAAAATTTTGCAAGTATTTTTTAATTATATTTGATTAGGATGCACATATATTTAAACATTGGTTTTTCCATTTATTTGTAATCTTCTGTATATAAAATCTTGTTTTTTTTTGTTAGTGTACAAGAGTGTGAATGAGAGTGCCCCTTTTGAATAGAATTAGATATGTTGAATAATATATAAATGAAAAAAAATCTATAAACTTGATATTTTTTATGTTCTTTTAGTATTTAACCTCTTATATTTTTAACAACCAACATAAAACTAATTAATAGTTCAATCAAGTGATTAACACATTGATAGAGTTTTTCTCTTGCTTTCCCAACATGAGTTCAAGGATTTCATACAAGGCAAACACATTTTCAATGTGTTACGATGGTAAATCTAGTTTTGACATCCAATTTAAACATGTAAAAAAATCTCATCTAAACGTGAAGAAGTTATTTTGATCTATTTAGGTTTTAAGTTGTAACATAATAAGACATACGCAACTCAGAGGAGGAAGCGAATTCGCACAAGGAATCATCTTGACAACGGTGTTAGCTCAATATAAAGACAACCAAGTTCATGAACCTTCCAGTTGACGAAGTTCTCATATTTAGTTGCAATAAATTAGGTCTTTGCCTAATCTAATTCGAATTTTGACGACAATATCCTTTTGTTCATTCATCAGATCAAGCAACGATCGGTAGGTCCTTAGTTTATATATAATAAGCTGGACAGATTGATGAAAACTAGCCATTAATTGAAGGTTTAGACCACATATTAAAAATAGTATTTGTTCTAATCACGTATTGAATTTTTTTATTAAACCTAAAATAGAAGCAAGACAAATTGTTCAGATCGATAAGAAATAAATACTTAATTGAATAGCACAAAAGGTGCATGATATTTGATTATTGTTGCGAAATGATGGGCAAATCACAGACCATCGTCGAGTTAATATTTCTGAAGTGCAAATACAGCCAAAAATCTAAACAAAAATTGGCATGTCAAAATCAAATGGATTAGGTAGAGCTGTGTGTGTGTGACTTTTTGTGTTTTAATTCAGATGCGGATAAAACTTCGATTTTCCCATTGTTTTCTGCTTTTCTTGGAAGCTAGCTAGACAATAGGAGCGACGAATAACGCTCAAACTTTATCAGCTAACATAAGTCAAATGAAAGCAAGGGGAAAACATTAAACAACGTTGTCAATATATATATTTTAAACCATCAAGTGTGAGAATAAAAAATGTCATAATTAAAAATAATAAAAAAATAGCAGCGTAGAATCATAAAATTAATTAGCTGGCCATGTTAACAAATACGTAAGATTAATTTGACCATATATATATATAAGGAGATCGGAAAACTAATTGGCGGGAGAACAATTCACCGAAGTTTTTATAGCATCGTGGTATAAAAATATCTTTGGCTAAGATAAAGGTTTCACTATACGACAATTAATTGAACTTGAGAATACATATATGAAGTCAAATGCTCATGTAAGCACTAAAGATAAGAGTATCTGTAGTAGAATTTTGGTTGAACCCGAAGTTACTAAAACACAAGGATGGATTAAGTGGATTAAATCCATAAATTTAACAAATAGAACGGATGAATTAGAGCAAGTTGTTTGGATAAATTAATAAACACTTCCAGGTCTCTCTTGCAATATAAAAAGTTGATCTAATACTCTAAAGATGAATTCTAATAAATATTAAAATAATATATAGTAAATATATAAATGAAAATTAATATTTAATTGTTACTTTCTCTATAAATAAATAAATAAAGTAATTTTCTCTTCCTTTTTTTGTCTGCTTAATATCTCTTTCTTTCCTTCTCTATACTATTACCTAATACATATTACTCGATCTCTTTGGGCCATAATTTTTTATGTTTAAATTGTTTGCACACCTCTTAAGAAATATTTAATACTAGTATGTTAAGTATAAAATACTCTTATTTAATATCTTGGAATATATAAAATAAGAACAATTATAATTATGGAGTTAGAATATTAATTATCAAACAAGGATATACATCAAAAACAATTAATATCATTTGAAATGTGTAAAACATTAAAAAAAATTAAAAAAAAATAAAAAGTTGAAAACATAAAAAAAAATATATTATATAGTTAGGAGGGAGTATTTGGTTACCTATTTTTTTAGTATAATTTTCTATTTATGTTATCTCTTTCTTTGATCGTTTAATTCTTTCTTACTTGACAATGCTCTTAATTTATCTATAATGATTCTCGCTTGCAAATAAGAATCAAATATAAAGTTGAGGGAAAAAAAAGACATACTTATTGGTTTGGCCAAAGAATAGTGTCATAAATGAAGAAAATGTTGGAGTTCAAGTGTAAAATGAGTCTCACGTTAGTTAAAATTGGCCATGTTGAGTAATATATAAGTGAGAAAATGCCTTAAGATTTTATATTATGTTGTGGTACCAAACTCACTTATGTAGTTTACTCACTATCTATTAAATGAAGTGCTCTCCAAGGTAAAACTCCTTAACAATGATATCAAAGTTGATGGTTCAACCAAGTGACGCACTACAAGAAAAAGTCAAATTTCCCACGGATTATTTCCCACGGACCAAAATCCGTCGGAAATTTCCCACGGATTTAGATCCGTGGGAAATTTTTGACGGAATTTCCACAGATTTTTACATGAAGGAATTTCCGACGAAATTTCCGACGGATTTAAATCCGTGGGAAATTTCCGACGGAATTTCCCACGGATTTATATCCGTCTGAAAATTCCGACGGAATTTCCGACGGATTTAAATCCGTCTAAATGAGTAGGAGGAAAAAATATATAATAATTAATGTGACAGTAAGTTTATTAAGATAAGATTCATCTGTTTTGATATTGTTAATCTGATAATAAATAGTTTGTTAGTTAATTTTACTGATAAGATTGATTTGTTAGAATTTGTTTTATTTGATTGTAATTCTGTTACGATCATTCTATATAATGACTGTTTTCACAAATAATAAAGTCAAGCTGCAGATTCACAGTAACTTCCATTATGGTATCAAGAACTTGACGATCCTAAAAAAATTTTCATCATGTCTTCTACAACACAATCACTCAAAATTACAGATCCCAAGTCACCATTTTTTCTTCATCCATCTGATCATCCTAGTGTCATTCTTACCACCGTTCTATTACGTGGGCAAATCAATTATGAAAATTGGGCAAAGCTGATGCGTAATGCTTTGAAAGCCAAAAACAATCTTGATTTTGTTCTTGGCAATGTGATCGCTCCTACTGATAAAGCTTCTAATGAAGCATATGCTTGGTCCTTGTGCAATTCCATGATTAATAGTTGGATTCACAATACTGCAAAAGGCCTATGGGATGATCTCAAGGAACGATTTGTTGTTGCTAATATTCCCCGTATATTTCATCTTAAAGCTTCTCTCGCAACCATGAAACAAAATGGTGAAACTATTACAGAGTATTACACAAAGCTTCGGTCCATTTGGGATGAACTAGAGTCCAATCAAACGTTTGACGCGTGCACCACCGGTGATAATTGTGCTTTTAGAAAATCAATTGTTGCTGAACAGGAACACGATCGAGTATATCAATTCCTTATGGGTCTCGATCATGTTGTTTATAGCACACTTATCACTCAAATTCTCAACAAGAATCCACTTCCTATCGTTAGTCGCGTTTTTGCTATGGTTACTCAAGAGGAATCACATAAAGCTATTGTTCGTTCTTTTGAGAACCCTGTAGACGCGTTAGGTTGTGCCGCCACCACTAATATACCCACAAATACATCTAAGCTACGTGTTACCTGTACTCACTGTGGACATCCTAATCATGATGTTTCTCGCTGTTACAAACTCCATGGCTACCCCGATCGCCCTCCTGTTGGTCGCGGCCGTGGACGTGGTCGCACTTCGACAGGACGCTCTGCTTCTACTTCTGCTCATGCCACTCAATCTGGTGCATCTTCCGATGATAGTGGCCCCTCCAAACCTTTATCAGTTACTGATTTTACTCCTGAAATGCTTCAACGGTTGATGTCAATCGCTGTTTCCTCCAAAACGCCCACTGAAAAATTATGTGGTATAGTATCTTCCAAACACTCTTGGCTTCTTGACAGTGGGGCTTCCCAACATATGACTGGGACTGTCTCTCTTCTCTCTAACATACGCACCATCCCTCCTTGTTCAATAGGCTTACCCAATGGTGATCGTACTCTTGCAATTCAATGCGGGGATGTTAGGCTTACATCTCTGTTGCTACTTACCAATGTTCTTTACGTGCCGTCTCTTACGTGCAACCTGATTTCTATCTCTCAAATGCTACGCTCCAATGACTGCATGGCTGTATTTAATAATTCTAATTATTTTTTACAGGACCTATAGACGAGGAGGACGATTGGACAGGGTGTTGAGCATGAAGGGGTGTATGTACTTTGCCAATCAGTTTCTGTAAATGCGACTCATGGTTCCTCTTCTTTCAATTTGTGGCATCGACGCTTGGGACATCCTTCTCAACATTATTTGGATTTGTTGGAATTTGTTTCTAGATCAAATAAAATAGTTTATTGCGATGTGTGTTGTAGAGCCAAACAAACACGCTATTCATTCCCTATCAATAAAAAACATAGTTTGCACTCCTTTGATTTAATCCATTGTGATTTATGGGGAC